TCTCCCATCTTTCTGTTCCAGTTCACTTTTTCACATATGACCGGGAGTTCATCACTCAGTATTGTCAGGTGTCTGCACTTTTGGAGCTCGAGTCACTTCTCTCACAGCAGAGCCTTAGGGAAGCCTTCTCAGACTCCGAACTAACCACTGCTAAACAGAGGCACCAGCAGGTTCAGGACTACATACAGGTATGTGGAGGAAAAGAGCACTGGGAATGAGGTGGGCTGCCCTGCCCATGTCCTCTTACCTCAGTGCCCAGATTACCCACTTTGAACAGGTGTGTCCTGGTCTGGATCTCCCTCTGCCAGCTGCTGCATAGCTCCACTCAACTCTAATGTGCTGCACTCAGATAGCATCACCCAGTTCCTTTGACCATGCAGTCATGAGGTCCAGGACCTATGACAGAATCTGGAACTCTGCCCAGCTACTCCTGCTCTTCTGTAGCAATTGCATTAGCAGTGCTAACAGGAGAGCTCCTCATCCTGTATGCAAGCCAGCCTGAATCTTCCACTTGCTTCTCAGAGCTGAGAGACCTGCCTTGTTGGGGCAGGCTCTGGAAGTGCATTCTGGGTCTGGTCATGCAAAGCAGTGCAGTGCCCCCTATCTTCTGGGTTTCCCATCTCTGAAACAGGCAGCTCACATAAAGGTTTGGGGCTTTACAGAGCCCACTGGACATTCAAGGCTGTGTGTTTACAGGGAGTAGGACACCAACCTGGGAGTTAGGAAACCAGGTTCAGTCTCTAACTTTCCTTCTACAGAGAAGCTTGAGCAGTGGCCTGAGGAGACTGATCCTCCTTTACAAAGTGCTTTGTGATCTCCCAATGAAAATGCCTCTAAAGTCACCATGTATTTTTATTTAGTGAGGATGCTTAGGATTGAGAGCTGGCACTGTGATGGTATGGAAAAGCCTTCCGTTGGATGATGCTCTTGGCCTCAGTACCCAAGTACACAGACTGCTCTGCACAGAGGAAGCATAACCTCATCTGGGATGGGGGAAACCAGTATTTCTTTATTATATTGTTTATTTAGAAGGGAATGGTTCATTGTGTTTCTCCCTGGCAGCAAATGGAGGAAATCTGGCGTGAGATGCGCTGGATTATGGATGCCCTGCAACATGCACGGTACAAACAGCCATCCTGTGGTGTGCCCCTCACCTGGTTCCTCCATGAATCCACCAGTGCAATGAAGGAGAAAACCCAATCCACCTCCTCCCACCTGGATTACCTCCCCTCACCTACCCCCTCTCCAGAAACCAGCCGCAAGCTCAATTCCGGTAAGGGGCCCTGGTGCTTTATGAAGCTTCCTGGCAGGCAGGAACATAGAACCTGTTTGTGTGTATCATATAATTATAGAAAACAGAGTTGGAAGGGACCTCAGGAGGCCATCTGACCCATTCCTGAGTACCTAGGCAAGATCAACTGAACCTACTATACATCTGAGGATGTTGTAGTAATGCCCTCTGGCCAAGTCTACATGAGACACTGACCATGCAGTAGCCCAATACTACAGTGCAGTAGCGTTGCATGACAGAAACAGTGATGCAACACTACTGCGCAGTCTTCTGGGGCTGCTGCATAGTCAGCATCGCAAAAAAGCTGTTCGTCGGCATGATATAGTACAGTCCACTGTAAACAAGTACTAAATGACCTTTGCAGTAACAACTGCGCAGTCAGCATCTCATGTAGATGCAGCCTCTGACTGGTAGCTTTCCAAGTCCAGTGGATCTGGCATTATGGGGGTCTTCCTCAAAACCTGCCACCTTGTCTGGGAGGGCTTGTTACCCAGATACCCATTTGGTACTGAAATTAGGGTTAGGAGTAGAAAAGTGACTCTGGTTATGTCTTCAGTGCAGTAACTGTTCTGGCCATCTCTGGGTGTGTGGTCAGTGCAGTCACTGATGGGGCTGAAATGTGGCAGGCAGATTCAAGGTAGCTATAAACTGGCCAGCCTCAGTGCTGCTGGCCACATAGGTATGACACCACAAAGCTCAGCATGACTAATAGAAGCAGGGTTGACGGGCTGGTCATACCTCCCGAGCTCCATTTTACCACAGTGACTTGGTTATCAGTGTCCACACTAGCTTGTGTATGTCCACACTGCACTATGGTTACAAAAGTGACTACAGAGTCTACCTGCCCTCTGTAACAGCTGTACCTAATTGTTCCATTTGTTCTGTTATTACTTTACTTTCCCTAGAGGTCTCATTCAGTGTTCATAACTCCATTATTATAGGTCAGAGCTGTCCATATGCCATGCAAGCCACAGGCCCCACTTCCTGCACTGTGCTGGCACCCCAGGTCCCCCATGGCTTCACAGTCTCCCTTGGCCCCACAGGCTGTGCTGTCCCCAGGGAGAGGGGCAGGCAGTAGAAGCTGGAGGAGGGAGAGCGAGCTTGGAGACCCTGTAGGAGAGTGATGGGGGAAGAAAAGTCCAGTGAGCTCAGGAGTCACAAGTGAACCCTTAGCGGCCACTGGCTGGACAGCCCTATTATAGGCTATTGGCATGCATATAAAAAGACAGATCATGCCACAAACAGCTGGTCCTTTAAGTAGCTTTTCAAGGGGTCCCATTGTTCAAGTGGCTCAGTTTGCATATCCTAGTGCAGATGTTTCTAACCGATGGCACTGGAGACTCCACCTAGAATCTGAAATCTGTCTTCAGGCCTCACAGATCATAGCAAAGAGCAAGGGTCTTGGAGTAAGGAGTTGGGGTAATGCAGGGAAGTGATTGTGGACTCCTTCCAGGTCTAGGTCACTGACCCAAAAGTTAAGTTTCTACCATCTGGGAAGGGTCTTGTGGCCCAGAATTAATTGGCAAATCTCTGTCCCATTCTTTTTAGGGAGAGGTGGGGACATCCCAAGTACTCACCTGGCCACAGAATGTAACAACAATGTTAATGAAGCAGGAGGCAGACTAGAATCCAGATCCTGCTGCTGTGGCTCTGTGGTTTTTTAGCTCCTTAACAGTAGAATGAAGCCAAAACCTGTGTTTTTCTGACTCAGCTGATAGGCATCTAAAAACCAGCTGGCAGCAGATGTGTGCAAAGCCATAGATAGCAGAGCAGGGGCCATTAAATGCTTGCTAAGTAGGCACTATCCAACTGAGCAGCATCAGGAAGAAGGCAGGGTTGGAGCTTGAAAACCCTGAAACATTTGTTTCATGGTCTGGGGCATTTGCTTGCTAAGAAGTCCAGGAGGCTGGTGGAGTGTTCAGTGGGGAAGCATGTGTTTCCTCTGCTCTTGTGCTGTATGAGCTAATCCTCTGTCAGCTGCACAGTCCACTAGAAAATTGACCTGGAGCTGGGAAAAAAGCTAAGTGGGAGATCGCAGAGGGGTGGATCCCCATGGCAAATGGCTTCTTCTCCCTGCTTAATCCTCTGCTTTTAATGGCTCCAACTTTAATTTTGGTCTTCCAGAGGCTGTCAGCAGTAAATGGCATGAAAACCAGAAGCTGGAAGCCCCAGAGGATATAGATGCTTCTTGAGACTCACATGTTTCTCCATCCATGATCTGATAAGCCAGACATTGAATGACCCCAGTTAGAGGCATGACTATGTAGGTCCTTAGGAGGGGTATGATTCTCTCTGGCTTTTGTTGCCTGGGCCCAGAACCATGCTCTGCCCATTCCATTCATCTTGAGCACTGGCTCAGGAATGGTGACACTTGTCTTCCCTTTCACTCCCTGCAGATTCCCATGGGCTCTCGGATGAGGAGGGTTCCTCGGAGGTGTTCCTGGCAACAGACAGTGACTATGATTCTAGCAGGGCCCAAAGCCCCAAGGAGCTGGATCTGGTTTATTCATCCTCGGGGCCTGATTGCTGTGGCAGGAAAATCACCCGGACCTTGAGGGACAGTGCCCCTGACGTCCTGCAGACCCATGAACTCAAGACCCCACCTCTGCCTTCTGAGGAGCCCCGCCCACCCCCAGAGCTGTACGACAGTGACTTTGTCCTGCCCAGCCGGCAGATTGAACTCCTGCGCATCACAGAGAAGCGTCAGGCTTACT